AACCTTGCTTGCTGAAAGTGAAGAGGACTTGAAGCACTTACTGATGAAGATCAAAGACTACAGCCTTCAGTATGGATTCCACCTCAACATAAAGAAAACAAAAATCCTCACAACTGGACCAATAAGCAACATCACGAAAAACAGAAAAGACTGAAGTTGTCAAGGATTTCATTTTACTTGGATCCATAATCAACGCCATCAAAGCAGCAGTCAAGAAATCAAAGGACGCATTGCATTGGGTAAATCTGCTGCAAAAAGTGTTAAAAAGCAAAGATGTCACTTTGAGGACTAAGGTGGGCCTGACCCAAGGCATGGTATTTTCAGTCACCTCATATGCCTGCGAAAGCTGGAAATGAATGAGGAAGACCAAAGAAGAATTGATGCCTTGGAATTATGGTGTTGGCAAAGAATACTGAAGACACCATGGACTGCCAGAAGAACAAACAAACTTGTCTAGGAAGAGGTGAAGTCAGAATGCTCCTTAGAAGCAAGGATGCCAAGATTTTTTCTCGTGTACTTTGGACATGTTGGCAGGAGGGTCCAGGTCCCTGAAGAAGGACATCATGCTTGGTAAAGTAGAGGGTCACCGAAAAAGAGGAAGACCAAGTGAGATAGACTGATGCAATGGCGGCAACAGTGGGCTCAAACATAGCAATGATTGTGAGCTTGGTGCAGGATTGGGCAGTGTTCCGTTCGGTTGTATACAGGGTCACTATGACTTGGAACTGACTCGACAGCATCTAACAACAACAACAAAACGTTTAACAGAGTAAGTGTTAGAAGGATAAATAACCACAAACATAAAGTTCAAGGTTGGAATAGCTCTCACACTGGCTTTTCATTATATGTATAAACTATTATTTTTCATGAAGTGGCAGAAGTGACAGAAAATGCAACCTGGAGACATGTGTCTTGACTTGTAAAGCATGATTAGAAACACAACATCAAGTTTCAGCCCTGCTACTTAGTTTCCTGGCACCAGTGTCTGACTCTGCCCGCCACACTCCATTCCACCTTTTGGTTTCTTACCTTCTCCAGTTCCCTTGACTGGCTCTCAATAAAACTGAGAAGCAGTCAGTGAATTACTTCCGTGCCCCCCACCTCCCACCTGGACCGACAAGATTCCTAACTACCCCTCCCACATCTTACCTCTCACCTAACATTCTTCTGGTATTCTGCCCTGCTGTGATTTGCTCTCAGCAAGCTTTCATTTAGTCTTCACTGAGGTGTTAACTGATAATCATGGTGTTAACTGAACTGTGATCCCTGTCTGAATTATTTACATTTCAAAAGCAGGCTCTTGGAAGACCCAACAATTCAGTTTTGTAGGATAACTGAGAGGAGACTTTCCCTGTGATTAGTAACACCACAATTAGTAGACTTTCGCTCTCACTCTTAACATTCACAGAAGCTTTATCTTGATAATGACTGTGGCTTTTGGAAGGAGAGATCTGAGGAGCTGGTACTAGTGAGGAATGAGCTGGGCCCGTACTAGGCCACCATAAGTACACCGAAGATAGGCTCCTGCTAACTCTCAACTCATAGGATTTAAAATGTGCAACTTCTTGGGAAATCCTGAGGCACTGACAGAGCTGCAATTTGATACCTATCAGAGGTTTTACCCCCAAGGTGCACCCACTGTCATTGTTATTCAACACATTTTTGCAACTTGGCGTAGTCCACATGGAGTTGCATTTTGGGAAGACACCAGTGAAAGCTAAACGTGAAGAGATTCTATGAACATGTCAGGGTCAGCAATGATATATATGCATTTGGGGAGAAAATAGGGGCATACAAATAAATATATGAGTTTCCATACATGTAAAGGTAATCATATTAGCCCTAGAAGGCAAATACTACCCTTAAATAGATAAAGAACACTAAAGGAAGGAAAAAGAGCATTAGGGAAAGGGTAGGGTTTGGGAGGCTTGGAGACGAGGAAGCAGGAAGCAGAGACGGTGAATGATGGAGCTTCTAACTATTATCTTGATGATGTCCTAAACAAGAATGGGAAGTGACCAAAATACATGACATTGTCGCCTGGGATTAGGCCAAAATAAATGTCCTCGGAGAATCAGTGCACATCAGTGTTCTTAATCTGGAGCATGTTTACATCAGTCAGGGGTTTTACGAACTGCAATGGCAGATTCTTTTTTTTTTCTTCCTTAGTATCATTTATCAGGGTAGAAATGGGGAAAAATTGAGGAAAATAACTGATTTAAAAATAACAGCTTCTTTCATTTATTTTACATGTTATACACTAATTTTTAATGAATACTATACATACATCTTAATCTTATATTTAAAAAATAGAATATTGATTAATCATTGTGTTTTATTGCTACTTTAATCTAATTTTGAAAAAAGTTACACAAATGTTATATAAAATTGAAAGGGAAAATGTGAGCAGAGAGTATTGCTGCTATTCGAGTAGCTCCTGAGGTTTTAGAAACCACAAGAGATTTTCAGAGGTCACAGCGCAAATGTCTAACAAGTTAAATAGAGATGGACGGCCTCATTTCAGTCTTCTAAGTCTCCGTAAATCTCTTGATTTACACTTCATATTCACTCCACCTAAATTCTCTAAGTATGTGAGAGCGATTCCCTTGATCAGACTCTGTTCTAGGGGGCTAATTACTTTCTTCCTTCTGGTTTATTGAGGCTAAGCGGAAAAGGCAATGGAGAGCTCATTATTTTGTCATCCATGGTGTTTTGGCGCTCTAAATTAATGTTAGGGTCTCAAAACTGTCTTCCAATATTGCAGTGGGGAAACACAGATTGGGCTTTTGAAGTTTTTGATTCAGATTCTAGAATGTAACATATAGCTGTGAAGGGGCTTTTATGAAGGGAAAATGCATCTACAGTACGTGTGAGATTTAGGTTTTCTCAAACATCTTAACCTGGTAGTGGTTCTCTTTAAAAAAGGAAGAAAGAAAAAAAGAAATTTCCACCTTTAAAGTGGAAGTTTGTCCTCTGTAATAATCCAGAAGTTCATGGAAACAAACTTTACATTTTCTGAGATTAAACAGTTTTCTTAAGGTCCAACACATGGGTTTACCTTAGGGCGGAGCTCAGTCCAGAAGGTTTACCGGATAGAAAGTCCAGGGTGATCCTTGACTTGGCGAGCATAAAGTTTTCTTCAGAGCTCATTTCCAAAGTCAGCCTGGCCATCCTGGAAACTGCAGAGGCCAACAGGAGCGCTAGTACGCTTTGGTGTTAAATGAACGCAGGAGCAGAGAGAGGCCAGGCGGTCTCGCGAACAGGAGAACCCCTTCGGGAGGGGAGAGGTTCCAAAGCGAGGTAACGAGTCCAAAGCCAGGAGCTCCAGCGTCCTCCGGCTCACGCCGAGCGTCGCTTCCGGAGCCCCCTGCAGCCTGGAGCCAGCGTGAAGGTGGGGGAGACGCAGCCGTGGAGGAAGCAGGAAAGGGAGCGGGGGGAGGGGGGGGAAGCGAGGGGAGTCGGCGCGAGCGGCGCGCGCGGGGAGGCGGAGATGGGGAGCGCGCGGCGCGCAGGGAGCTGAGTGGACCGCTCGGGCGCGCGGCGCGTGCGGCAGCTCCGGAGAGCGGCGAGCTGGCCGCGCAAGGCTGCGTTTCCAGGAGGAGCTGCGAGCGCGGTGCCGGCTCCCAGCAAGGTGCTGTGCCTGCAAGCGGTGCTGCCCGGTTAGGGTGCTGCGGCTGCGGCTTCCTTCTTCATCCCCACCTTCCTTCCCCCGGTCGGCTCGGGTGTGAGTGCGCGGGGCTTGGAGGTGAAGCCTGCGGGGAGGCTGCATCCCCGTCCTTGCACATCTGCTCCTCCCGCTACCTCCGTCGTCGTAGATGCATGTCTCCCAGGGTCGCCCCGGTTTCCGTACCCCTTGTTTGACACTGTGTACCCTCCGGTTGTGTCTCCTTCCCCAGATGCTCAAGGTGTCAGCCGTACTGTGTGTGTGTGCGGCCGCTTGGTGCAGTCAGGCTCTCGCGGCGGCCGCGGCGGGGGCTGCGGCCGGGGGGCGGTCGGACGGCGGTAATTTTCTGGATGATAAACAATGGCTCACCACGATCTCTCAGTACGACAAGGAAGTCGGACAGTGGAACAAATTCCGAGACGTAAGTGCTGCGCACCCCCGTCCCCGGGCACGCGCGAGGGCTGGCGCTGCTCTGAGCCGGCCCGGGGCGGCCGGGGGTCGGCGGAGGGTCGGCAGGGGTGGGCTCAGTTCTCCCAGGAGAGAGGGTTTTGATGACTCGGTGGCGCACTGCTCCTGGAGAAGTTCGCAGTTCCGAGGCTCCCATCCCGGCTGGTGCAAGCGGAAGGGCTTGCTTGTTGGATGTTCCAGAGTTCGGGTCTCACCAGGTCCCACTCTTCTTGCCCCAACCACTCTCTGCGCTGTACCTCCCTCTCCTCCCCCGGCCCCCCAAAGGCGTGTAAAGCGCCGGCTCTACCTTCCAACTTTTTGAACGGCGTTTTTGGCACTGGTAAACACAGCAGATGTGCCTTTTGCCATGTATGGCTCCTAAAGTAACTAGGATCGATCTCGTTACTAATGGTCCATTAAGGAATTCGAGGGAGGAGGTAGGAAGATAAGATTTATAACTGCCATCTCTCCAAGGAGGGAAGGTTGTTTGGCGGCACCAGATTCCGTAAAATTGCTGATCAGGTTTGTGCTTTGGCATTAACTTTAAGCCAGAACATGTTTGCAATGCACGCGATTAGGTTTTTGTTCTAAAATGTATCGCTGCCATAAACACTGCGGACGTCTTGCTGGTGGCAACGAGGAAAGGGTTAAGCTGTAGACTCCCTAGGGAGTTTCCTCAAGGGTTGTTAAGACCCAGACAGGTTGGGAGACCCCTGACGATCGACTGTTTGCTTTGGAGCCAGTGGCTGTGACATGCTAGTCGTTTTTCCCACCTGATCTGAATGGAGCCTAGTACGAGCTGCTCGCGTCAAGAGCGCGATGCATCCCCACGCAGTCAGTGAACTTGGCTGTCCCAGTGAGGGGGCTGCCCTACTTCTGATGCAGGCCCCCAGCCACCCTTTTAAAAGCCAGAAGACCTGAAAGGGAGAGCAGTTGCTTCACAGATAGATTGCTAACCCTTACCGTGGCATTTAAGAGAATTTCTGGTGGAATCCGTCTGCAGGGTACTGCGTGGAGATAAGCTAACTTCTTTCATCACCTCACATTCTGTCACAATTTGCAAACAATGGAAGCTTAGGCTGGATTTCCTCCTAGCTCTTCTCCCAAGACCGCTTAGATAAAGTTACTGACAAGGCAGATCTAAGGCGTTAGTTTATTCTGGCAAAGGGATCCCAGCAAAAATGTTGATTTGTACTTTAAAATTCAGTGTAGCTAGCTGATGCCAGGCAAGGGTCTAGAATGAAAAATGATCATGATAATATTTAATGGAGAGCTTTATGTTACATGCTTTAGGCACAAAGCTTCAATATCATTTTATTGCTAAATGAGTATTCTTATAAAGGCAAACCCCGTATACACATTTGTTTTAGGTAAGTTTTTACTGGTATTCAATACGGTCAAAAAGGCAAGCAAGCAGGGGAGATATTTCTAAACCTGGAAAGAATTTCTGTTTATCATGCCTTCATCTGGAGAAACAGATCGAGTGTTTTGTCAGAATTTGAACAGTGCTTCACATTACGGCATTTCATTACTTAATAGCTGCTTTAAAATCTCTTAAAAACACATTTTAGGTTTTCTTCTCTAAAATATATTTTAAATCTTGAATATCTAAGTATTCTCTGACTTTCTTCAAGTAACTTTGTTCAATTACTATGAAGGATGCTAATGTTTTATTGTGTGTGTAATACTAGGGGTTTCTGTGTCTTTCTTTGCCTCAAACATTGCCTTCATCCATAATGTCTGACTAGTTTAGGGTTTATGTGAGCCACAAGGCTACGCTGAGACAGTTTGTGAATGTGTTTGATTTCAAATATGGAGGCCAGCTGAGTTGCCTCCTGTGGGAATTAAACATTCTAGAATTCATGCCTCCAGCTTCTCTAGAGACAGAGTAGAATAGTTTGTTGCTGTAGTATTTTCGGTTATTTTTCTATGATCTCAGGAAAAAGCCCATCAAATTATGCTAAACTTTTTAAATAAAGGATTTACGGAGTACGAGCAATGCATGAAAATGTAATAAGGATTTATTTGGAAAACATCGATCAGGTTTTCACATTACCATTTTTGTGAGATAATCAAGTTTTTGCCAGGACGACTTTGGAGGGCATGGAGAGATAAGTGCTATCACTTCCCACCTTTAACCACCTGTTGCTTGTTATTAACATGATAAAACAGTGTGGCTTCTCAGATAATAACCCTGAATGCATAATGTAAAATCCTTCTTTAGACCATGATTCAATGACTTGTTTATCTTTGTAGCGGATCATTAGCTTAAATTTTTGATTCATCTTTCTGGCTGTTGTTTATTTTTACCTCATTTTGTGTTAGAAGCACATGGTTATGAGGCATATCTTGAAATAAGAATGTACTGTATGAATCTCCCTTTCAGTGTTCTGCATCAGTATTGATATCTTAAATAAGGGATTTATGTATTCATTTCAGACTAAGGCAAACAGACCAGGAAATTTAAACTTCTTATTTTAGAAACACTTTAACTGAAGCCCTTTTTTTAGTGCTTGGCTTCCATAACTGTAAATTTCATTTCATTTAGAACAAAACTTTGGGATGCCTTAGAACAACTGGTCATGGAATTAATCTTTGTTGTAACCCTATGGGGCGGTTCTGCTCTGTCCTGTAGGGTTGCTATGAGTCGGAATTGACTTGACGGCAACCAGTTTGGTGTTTTATATATATATATGTTAGATAGAATCAGTATGTTATATTCAGAGTGTAATTATGTGATCTTAAAAAAAACAAACAAACCTGGACACTAGCATATGTTTAGTATAAACCCTGGTTGTATGCTGTTTCCTAGTTTTTTTCTTTAGCTCTGTTCAGTAGCAATAAAATCAAGAACACAAGATGCCTAAGTGGGGGCAGTGTGGGAGTTATTATACAGACAGACCAGCTATTACCTTTACCAAGAGCAGGGGTGAAGAATTGCCTCACCTCAGTCTTGCATGTACACGGATTGGTCTATTCAGAGAATTGGAAATCGGGGTCATTGTGAGCACGCTGAATGACTCATATATAGCATATTTCAAACATTGATATTTTATAACTTCAGTTAAATCATACACATTATCATGTAATAAATGAGCATGGAATTTGAAAACCAGTGAATTAATTGGTAATACATGATATAATACCATCATCAACTTTTATATTACTGATTCCCCTGAAGTAGTTATAGTGATCAAGGATGATGAAAAAGGGAAAGTACATATATGAGAAGTCCTCAAATACTGCATGTTAGAAGTGATGTAATTAAAAATATAGCAAAAGTAACGGTGATCACATGTTAATTTTACATAAATCACATAAGAGAACCAGGATTGTATCTTTACGTTGAAATTCAGATAGTTTCCGTGAGATGTATACGTCACTAAAAATACCTGGGGTTCATTTTGAACTTTGTTTGAACAAGTGGTTACTATTTGTGTTACAGAAGCCAGCAGCAACTTCAGTTCCAACTTACTCCTGCAGTGATATTTAATGCCCTGGAGGTATGCTGAAAACCATGGGAAAGCCCTACAATTTAACTTTACCAAATTTACCTTTCCACAATTTAAAGGACATATACAATGCTGGGAAAACGTTGAAGTGTCTCAGAGGCACTCAAGTTTATAAGCTGACATTTTTTAAACTTAGGGATACTGAATAGTAAGTCAATCATTTTTTTGTTGTCTTTTTATTTCTCCCTTTCATTTAAGCTGAGGTTCTTGCATGTACAGATTTTTTAAGTGATGATGCCTGATGCTGAGGGGTGTGTCCTGGCACTCCGGGAGCACAGAAAAGTGAGGGTCCTGAGAGTCCATCAGCCTTTAGGACTGTCAGCCAGTAAATACAACTAGTTTCCATGTGTACTGCAAGTCAAGTGCTCTACTGCTTTGTAAAGCATTAAAACAAAGCAAAACAAAACAAAAACAATGAGAAGCTTTAAAGACCGATCTGTCGGTACTCTGCTGAGGTTCCTGACTCCCCCGTAGTTGTACTTCTTGAATAGCAGGCCTACCTTTAGGACTTAAGGACTTAAGGGGGTGCCTTCAATAGTAGACAGCGGAGTTATACTGCTTTATTTTTCAACGATATGTGCCAAAAATAAAATTAAAGATATTAGTAATTTGGAGGAATATAACAAAGTATATCACTTTTTTCTCTTTTATGGACTACTTTCTTAGTATTGGATGTCCAATTCCTGGGGAAGTGTACATTTTTAGCTCTCCTCACCATCAAACAATATTTTTGACTGAGATACCACATGTATTTCCTCATAGCCAAAAATAGGCTTTCCTTGGGAATTTTTCCCAGTTAATTCCTTACATTATCATGAATGTTTTTCCTTTTCTTTTACTGTTTGGGTGATTGTGGCTGCTGTGTTTAAAATTCTTTAAAAACTTTTGTATACATTGTACATATTTGCAGATTAGAACTGTTGAAAACTGTAGCATGCAATAGGATTTATACTGGATTATTGTTTGTATTGTTTAAATCATGAAGAGGTTTAAAAATGAGAGATGCAACTGACTTCTTACAAGATGCAGGAGGCTGTCTTTGACAGTTCTGGGGCCAGTGAGGAATTACAGCAGTGTATGTCCTGAACACTGTTTTTGTAATCTGGATCCTTGTCAAACCATGGTTGGGGTTCAGCTTCCCCATTTTCCATTCTTTACTCCCCCTACGCTACCACTTCCATGTTCACCAGTCAGAATTAAGATTGGTTCAAGTCAAGGAGCCCAGGTGGCACAGTGGTTAAGAACTTGACAGCTGACTGAAGGGTTGGCAGGTTCAAATCCACCAGCTGCTCCAAGGGAGAAAGATGAGGCACCGTGCTTCCAAAAAGATTACAGCCTTGGAAACCCCATGGGGCAGTTGTAATTTGTCCTATAAGGTCACTGTGGGTCGGAATCAACTCGACCCCAGTGGGTTTTGTCAGGTCAGATGTCACGTGAGGAAGGCAGGTCACAGAAAGTTCAC